TTACCAGGGAAAGAGGGGTGTGACGATGCCATGTGGGAACTCCCGCCCTTCCTGGGACACGGTGGGGAAATCCCTGCAGGCCCTGGGTGGTGACAACGTCTACGTGAAGCACCAGGGCTGGACAGACACCGTCCGTGCCCGACTCCTGCCCAAAACTCCAGGGAGATGCAAGAGATAAAGGGGCCAGGGCTTTGACACACTCTGGGAACTCCTGGCTTGGGCATCTCCACCACCAACAACACATCAGGACTGCCCAAGACCAACCCCCTTCTCCTCAGGAAGGGAGATGACGTCCCCAACCCTTACCTGGAAGCACAAGGACCTGCTGGCAACGTGCCCGTGACCAACAGGAACTAGCCCGGGTGTGGGAAGAGCTTCTTCAGCCCTTCCTTCCCCGTAAGGTGCCTAAGAAGCACTCAGAACATCCAACCAAACACTCAACACTTGCCCAAGACCCCAAAATTGTTCACAGAATCCCAGAATCTTCTAGGTTGGAAGGGACCTTCAAGATCATCTTGTCCAACCGTCAACCTCACTGACAAAAATAGACACCCCCACAACAAACAAGGAGCATCATCACTAAACCAGACCTCCCAGCACCACATCAACCCGGCTTTTGAACACCTCCAGGGATGGGGCCTCAACCCCCTCCCTGGGCAGCCCAGTCCAAGGGCTGAGAACCCTTTCAGGGAAAAAATTGTTCCTAATATCCAGCCTGAACCTCCCCTGGGGCAACTTGAGGCCATTTCCTCTCGTCCTGTCGCCTGGGACTTGAGAAAAGAGACCGACCCCCATCTCTCTACCCCCTCCTTTCAGGGAGTTGGAGAGAGCAAGAAGGTCTCCCCTCAGCCTCCTCTTCTCCAGGCTGAAGAACCCCAGTTCCCTTCAATGGCCCAAGCCATGGGTGAAGACACCTCAGCCAGGCAGGACTCCCTGGAAGCAGGGCTGGTCTCAGCAGGCTATGGGTAGGAGAACACCCATCCCACGGGGTTCCTCACCTCCTTCCTTTGGTGGTAGGTCTCTCCCACTTTGATGTGCCCCACCAGGCTGCCCCCCGTGCGGGAATCCAAGATGTGGACCACGGTGGCCATCAGGTCATAGATATACACCGACTCCGGGTCATCGGTTGGGCTCAACTGCAAGAGGAACCGGTGCTGGGGAAACATCTGAGCCACAACTGTCTTCCAGGCACCTCCCCAACCTCCAGCCCGAGCCCCAGAGCTCACACATCCCCATCTCACCCCCAGCCCAGAGGTTTCCACACTCACCCAAGGTGTCTCTGAGACACCCTGGGTCGCTCTCGACCACACACACTCAGCAGAAAGCGGTTCTGCTCCCACAGCCCCACGTGCCCACGACCACGTAAGCCCCAGAGGGATGTCATCAGCCTTTTACCTCATCGTTCTCGTTCCAGTTGCACACATCCAGCTCTTTGCTCTTGGTCAACTTCATCTTGATGGCGTGAGGGATCCAAATGTTCTTCAGTTCCTCCACGGAAGGATACGAATGCCCCGTGTTGGGGTTCCCCAGCTCCTTCCTGCTCGGAGAATTATGGAAGGGCCAAGTCAGAGGGAGTCACGAGGTGTCATCCAGCCCAAAATCTCTGGGGCAGAACCCCCCACTGCCCCACGTGCCCCCTGGCCAGCCTGTTCCTAAACCTTCCACGGGACAGGTGGGGAAGCCAGAGCTGCCCCACTTCCCCCCACAGCTGCCCTGGGCAAGGTGGCTGGGTAATGTTGGCCAGAAAGGGCCAATGCACCATCCTGGGGTTTTTATCAGCCTGGAAAGGGAAGGGGAATGAGGGTTGGGGGCTCAAAAATGGATCACAAGGGTATCTGAAGGGGATGCTGAGCAGGGCACCCGTACAGGGTCACAGTCTTGAGAGAGAAATGAGACTGTTGCAGTTCAGAGCCCAGGAGGAGATGATCAAATTATCATTATCAGCTGACAAACGGCCCCAACAAGCCCAGAAGGCATCACTGCTCAGCTGCCACCCCAGGAACAGTCACCTACCACTCTCCAAGAGAGATTTCTTTGCCTTTGGTGATGTCAAAGCCTCCTCTCTTCATCATGGCTTTCTGAAAGGCATACTGGCAACGAAACACAGGCAAGCGTCAGCGCGGAGCCACAGCCTGGGCTTGGGAACACGTGGGTGACAGCCAGGCCAGAAGTGGGGGGAAAAAAGGACTTTAAAGTCAGTGACAGGGGAAAAAAAAAAAAAAAAAGACAGTGAGGGAACCCCAAATGTCCTCCCAGTCTCTGCTGGGTTGTGAGCTGGGAAGTGGGCACTGCTTTTGCTGCTCCTGGATCCTGGGGGAAGGAAAGAGTGACTCTGCTGTGGTCCCATCACCTCTCTCATGGCAGCAAATCTCCTTTTTTCCAACTCCAAATGCACAGCTCACGCTACAAAGTGTGACCTGATACCACCACGTCCTCTGCAAACAAAGTAGGGTGATGGCTTGGGTGGAGAGTGAGAGATTTAGAGACAGTGAGACCAGAAGGAAAACACCTCCTCAGGACCGGGCAGGCAGCAAAGCCCCGTGGGCCAGGGGGAGAACAAGCCCCAGAGTGGCTCCCCCACCTCAGCTTGTGTCTTCCAAAAATCTGCCTCCTTGGAGCTGTTCACCTCACAGTTAATGACCAGGACGTCGGGCAGGCAGCGGATATTCCGGGTCTGGACCTGTGGAGAGAGCAGGGGATGGGAGAAGGGCAGCACTGAGAGCCCCAAAAATGGATTTGGCCTCCAAAACCTTCACCTGCAGAGCTCCTGCCCCCCTGCCCGGATGGGTTCCTGGCAGTTTGGGGCACAGCCAGAGCACCTGAGGTGTGTGTGTGGGGGTTCCCTCTGCCCCCCTACCCCACGGGGATTCAGTTGGGATGGTTCCAGCACTCTCACAGCTCAGGAAATACCCAGTTTGCCATCCTGGCCAGGAACTGAATCTCCAGCACCCGCTCAGGAGGTTCCCCACTGACTAATGGAGAAACTGGCCCCGGCTCCGCCGGCAGCACAGGGCCCTCACACCCTTCTCCCATCCATTTTCCCCCTCAGCACCCCTGAAACGTGGTGTGTTTGTGCCCCAGGGCTCACCGTGGGTTGGTATTTTTCACAGTTCTCACACCAGGCTTGTGTGTTTTGCTCCAAACAGATGCTTCGTTTTAAAATTTGGGCAAACTCGTAATCTTTCACCGGCTTTTCTGGAGGGAGAAAAAAGAGAATAACGTCACCTCCCGACACACAAATCTTTACCAATTTAACTCAGCCAAACCTCTGGGGTTTTCCTCACAACCACCAGCGAGAAGGCCAACCCCCAAATCCACCTTTCTGTAGCCAAAAAGCTCGGCTGGTTGGAAACCCAACACTAGATTTTGGCTGCTGGTTCTGCCGCAGCCCCCGGGGCTGGAACAGCCCTGGCTGCAGGTGTGTGTCACCTGGAAAAGTCAGGGTTCATCCCTAAGGAATAACAAATCCCACCCAGGAAGGGGAAAAAACAGCAGGATTGAACGTGCCAGCCCCTGTTACCGGTGCTCTCGGGGTAGGAGAGGGTGAAGAGCAGCGTGGAGGACACGCGGACGGTTTCCTTGCCGCAGCGACACATGCTGCAGTTCTCCATCTCGCAGCTGAAGAGCTGCCCGATAACAGAGTCCCCTGAGGACCCAAAACTGCTGGAAAATAAAAGCAGCAGGGTTAGTTAGCAAGGATCCCAACCACCCCCACAGCGTGGGGCTGGCTGGCTAGGGTGGGCTGAGCGCTGGGGACCCACACATCTGGGGTTGGACGAGGGCTGTTTGGGGTCAGGAACCAAATTCCTGCAGTTCTTGGGGGACATCAGGCTTCTGGGGAACATCAGGCTTCTGGAGCCAGTGCCCCAACCCATTGAGCAGGGGATTTAGGTTTAGGAGGGACAAGGAGGGACAAGTGTGGGGTTCAAACCCTGCTGAAGGGGTACCCTACAGCTCTGCCTGTTCCCCCACAGCCCTCGGGGCAGACGTGGGTGGCAAGAAAGCTCCTTCCTGAAGGATGGATTGGCCTCTGGGAGCCAGATCCCCCCCCATCCTCCCTGGTTGGGTTACTCCCTGTGCTGTCCCCCCCCGGGGTAGGGGATTTACCTGGTGCCAGCCCCCCGATATGCCTGCGGTCCCTCCTGCTCCTGGGTTTCCTGGTGCAGCTGAGTAAGGATGAAGCGGTTCCAGCTCTGAATCAGCCTCCCCAGGTTCACCTTCCCCGTGGCTTCGTCCGAATCAGCCAGGATCAACCCCAGCGCCGAAGCCTCCGGGATCGTACGGAAAGCCCGCAAAAAATTGCTTCCCTGAGGATGGGGCAAGAACGGGATGTCACCGAGGTCAAGTGACAGGAGTTTCCAACCCTTGGCTGATGCCATCACCCAAAGACCTGGCACCACCCAGCTCTCCTGCTCTCCTCCACGCTCTCTCTGCCCCACGGACCTGGCAGGGATCTCCTCGGGACAGGTCCAACATGTGGAAGAGCAGGCCCAGTTCGCAGCCCAGGCAGAATTCCTTCTGGCACAGGTGGTTTTGGACCAGGCACCGCACCGGCTCCAAAAAATACAGCACCTGGCAGAGAGGGAGCAATCAGGGGGACATCCCCCCCGGGGGGGTCGCGGTGGCCTGGGCAGAACTGGGACATCTCCCACCTGGATCATGCAGTTGCAGTAGGCGTTGGGGATGTGGGGCTCCAGCCCCGCAAACAACGTCTTGTTGTAATGTTTGAAGTCAAAGTCTTCCAGCCCCAACTTGGAGTATTTGATGGTCACCTGGGCAGAGATGCAACGTGTCAAACGGGGGGCCTTCCCACCCCAGGGGACACTGGGGAAAGGCCTTGGTGCTCCCCATGGAGATGTGGGCAGTGTCCCCATGGAGACCCAAGCAGGTCCATCTCCCCAGAGCCTGGGGACTCCCAGCCGTGCCCCAAAAGTGCCCCACTACCTTCCTGTACTTCTTGGCCACCATGTAGAGGTGTGGCTCCTCTTCCCGCCCGATGGGGGACTCGGGGACTTGGCTGAAGCTGTCGAACTCGTTGTCCGTCTCTTTTAACCGATAGGGAATCTGTGAGGGGGAAGAGAAGAGAAGGAGAAGAGAGAAGAAGAGAGAGGAGAAGAAGAGAGAGGAGAAGAGGAGAGGGGAGAAGAGGAGAGAGGGAGAAGAGAGGAGAAGAAGGAGAAGGAGAAGGAGAAGGAGAAGGAGAAGGAGAAGGAGAAGGAGAAGGAGAAGGAGAAGGAGAAGGAGAAGGAGAGAAGGAGAAGAGAAGGAGAGAAGGAGAAGAGAAGGAGAGAAGGAGAAGAGAAGGAGAGAAGGAGAAGAGAAGGAGAAGAGAAGGAGAAGAGAAGGAGAGAAGGAGAGAAGGAGAGAAGGAGAAGGAGAAGGAGAAGAAGAGAAGGAGAAGAGAGGAGAAGATGAACCCTGAGGCAGAGCGAAGCACCGTGTACTGAAACAAGTCACTCCTGGGCTTTCCTGCCTCCCCGAATGAGCAAAGGAATAAACCAGAAGGGAGTGGGGGCCCTCCCTTAACCTGCACGAGGCCTCCACACCTTCCTTCTTGCCAAGGGACTTATCGCTGTGGGAAACTACAGCGGCGCCGCGGGCGAGGGCGGAAGGCAGCAGTGTTTTCCCCGGGGGTGAGGGGACGTGCCATAAACCTCCAAACTGGACACCTCAAACCTTCCCTACCACACAGCGAGCTGTTGACACACCCAGACTTCAGGCCCGAGGATTTGGGGGGGACTCCAGCCCCCCCCCAGGGCTGGCTCACCCAGTGACACTGCTGAAAAAAACCTGGTCGCCTCAAAACTATCCACCTGCTTCTCTGCGACAC